GTTTACGAACTAATTTCTGATGTTCTGATGAACGATCGAAACATTTGAAGTTATAAAATACGGTATATTTTCGAAAATATGAGGATAGGTTTTAAAATGTAATCGATCAAGAAAATAGAAAGTTCTATAGATAGATCATAACGTGAATTTTAGATTGTTTCAAAATGTTAGAAATTTATTTTACAACCGCACGTCTTCATGAGTGACGAATACACGTTAAGTATAAGGCTATTATGTGAAAACCGTCTATCTTATCGACACTGCGGAAAGGAAATTCGAAAGCCTCGTAATGACGCCTTCATGACACAGTTCACTGGCGCGAGATACCCGAAAATGTGACCCGAAACCACTTGGAGCGGCACATGAATGCAGACGCCCTTCGTCAGAAAGGAGGCAGTTGTTTTTAAATTCAACTACTCAGTTCATTGATAAACTGTTTAGTCTCGTCCACGGTTATCAACCTTAAAAATATCATTCAGTTTTGAACATCAATACTCAATATCTTCTATATTTTGAATTAGCACAGATTTGAGAACTTATGCCGATATAAGACCTACGAAAATCTTAGACATCCGAATCTTGGAAGGAAAGAGACTGCCTCATTACGAAAAGTATATCAGCTCGTCTGACAGTTATTTACTATCCAATGATGGAGGTACTCAATAATTGCGTTGAACTAAAAAGTATATGTGAAAAATTTTACGAAGATTTAAAAGAAACCAAATATTCTAATAACTTCAAACTGGGTTGTTCGGAAAATTATATTAAAATTAAGATTTACAAAAGATAAACTATGATCGTTATAGTTAAACTAAATAACAAATGTAATACAAATATTCACTAATAATCATAAAACTCGAGAATGTCCATATTATTAAGACTTGCATATCTACTAATAGGTAAAAAGCATAAAGAAATCGAAGTGAATCTAATACAATATAAGATGTTTGCAGATCATAAGCGCGAATTTCCCCAAATGAGAGGTCAAAAGCAAAATCGTCGGAGTCAGTCGTTCGTACTCAGTTTTCTAACAGCATCATGAGCTGGATAGAGGGATTCCTTACAAGGTAGAAGAAAGTTTTCATTAAATACCCCCTCCTTGTATTGTGTATAATTAGTTTTAATTAATTCTTCGTCATTAATCATCTGGACTGCCAACATTATTACAGTTCTCTCCGTATTATTTTTCAACTAAATCCAGTCTTCATTGCTACTTTTTGCAACAAATATTCACTTTTCAACCAGGAATGACAATACAATACGAGTTTGGAGTATTAATATATCGTAATCAGACAGCTATTGTTTATTATTGTTTTCTGTCAACTTGTGTTCATTTTAAGAAATATTTATTATTTAATTTATTGTTTTCCTTCTTCTTCATCCCGGAATGACTACTAACTCTACTTTAGAGAGACCTTGGCTAGATTACCATGCATTTATCTGTGAAACACCATAATACATTGTTTCGTAATCACACTTGCCAACCAAAAGAATGAGTGCGTTCGTGAGAAAGACGTTTTAACTCTAACGTGAGAACTTCCATGTGTTCAAAAAGGTAAGCGGACTTCCTTCTGCTAAATACAAATCCTTCTTGAATTAAGACAGCTAGGACTCTAGAAAGATATTTTTCATGTATTTACAAATGTGAAAGAAATTTGTTAACAATTTTTATTGGCTCTTAGGCATGAGCAGATGCTCAAAATCTATATTTGAATACACAGGATATAGTGTTCAACTTAGCGAGTATGGATTCCCCATGTCCAATTTTTTCTTTCCCGCTTCGGATTCGAAATTAACACGCTGCACAATTAACATTTTTTCGTAATCATCATTGCCAAACATTACAACCGAAAGCGTATTTTTGAGGAGCCCAGACTTTCTTCTTTCGACCCGCTGCAGCCGTCTCGCACCTCCTGGGCGTTGGCGCCGGAGCGAAACGCGAGGGAATCCGGCACGATGCGAAATCGATCGCAGTTAAACATTATTAAATTTAACCGGCATATTTATAACCGGCTGTGTGGAGGTAAATGGGGTGCGCCATTCGCGGTCCTGACAGGAGGGGGCGAGGAGGGGTGGGGTGGGGGTGGGGGCGCCCACAAAAGGCCGGTGCTGGAAGGGAGGAGGTTTGTTTCAGCTCATGCCGTGTGGAAGTGAGGCGTCCAACCGAGGGAGAATTGTAAAACGAAACCCGAAAAATGTGGGTCTGAATCCGCACCAGAATGAGCTAGCGTTCTCATCATCACCTGCTGATGCATGGGAATATAGTTCATTCTAGAATTATACTTTTTATTGAATATACGAAGGAGTTTGGGTTCTGGAAATGGAAAAAAATCAGGTAGTACCCCTACGTGTGACACACATTTTCACGAGAGGCTTGTACAATCGAGGCAATACGTACAATTACATATGGGTGTTTGTAATCTTTACAACGAATTTTTATGTTGATTTATAAACAAAATACTTTATGTAGTAAACTTTCAGAGGAGCAGAGTAGAAGAGCGAAGACAGACGTTTTTGAAAGGAAAACTCCTAATGAACAGGCATACTTTTTCTTTTAAGCGTTCCAGTGGAAAATCAATTTGTGTGAATAGGAATCAAAGAAACTACCAAGCGTGTGTACAAAAAGTCAACAAAAAAAGGTGTATCTTGTAAGGTTTTCCATGAAAGATTTTCTATTAAAAACAATAATAATTCTATATCACACCACGATAGAGCACATAAAAATGTAAGTTTATAGAATACAGTAATTCCTAGAATAACATTTGAATTTCCATTTAAGATTTCCAGTCACTAAAAAAGTTAGCTTTATCATCGTTTTTAAAGTTCATAACTTTATTAAACATGAGTAAACAGGTTTAACCTTTTATTGGTATTATTTATAAACATAAACGCAAAAATGTAGGTGCAAAGAAGGGCCTGAATGGGACTAAAACTGCAATGAGTCGAAATTATCCTTCCACGCGTTACCCCTCTCCCGCTGAGCGTTTCCTCCTCTGTCTAACCGAGCAAATCGCTACCCAAACGAGCGCGAATTTACTGTCAGAAATCACAGTCGTTCCACACCCAAAATTACTTCTATTATTAATGGCCCGTTAATTATAATATACTGCCCGCCCGGGAAGTTAATAAGAAAGAACCATGGAGCGTAATTTATTGCTGCATGGAGATAACTCTCGGCTGTGGAAGCTCAACTTGCAGCGAAATTATACATGTACACGAATTTCCTTGCTGACTTGTATCGTGAATAAATTAAGAAGAATTCCATTACACGTATTTATTTAATTCAATGTTTAAAAAACACAAATTAACTGTGCAGACTACCAAAATTAAACTTGAGCTCGGAAAAAATGTAAATTATTGAAAATTGCAAAAGTGTATCACGCGATGTATTGTGGTTCAAAATCGTCATGAGATCATTAATACAAAAGCACAGAAGCAGCTTTTGTTTGTGTGTTTATAATGTAACATGTTTTTGCAAGTTTTTGAAGAATTGTTTTTCCTTCTCAGTTACTTAACGTTCTTAGTCGGTTATTGATGGTTTTTTAGATCGTAAATTTAGATATTCGTCGTTTGCATTCCGGAACTTGAATTTCTATAAATACAATGAACAACCAGAAGTGTGTGACAACTGTATTAAAAGTGAATATCGGGTGAAAAGAAGGGCGTTTTGTGAGACGATCTTTTACAGCCTTGAATACCAACCAATTACTTATAAATAACGCCGAGGTTCCTTCCACGGCTTTAAAAGTAAACTCAACGTGGGGATAACCAGGTAACTGCTCTGCCCTGTAGGAAGCCGTCGCTATTTCCCATTCTGTAATAAAATGAAAACGCCTGCGAGGCGCAAAGCTGTACCACACGATGAAAACCGGAAGTGGAACTGACAGAGGGCAGCGAAGGGCGGCGCCGGTCACACGCGAGGCGCAGCGCGGGCAGAAAAAGGGCCGAGTCCGTGTGTGGAGTGAAATGGTGACGCCTCCCGTCCTGTTGGGAGTGGAGTTAGTTATCGATCTTTTGGCCGCCCCACGCGCGTTACGGGTTTTAATCGAAGTGTCGATTGTGCCTCGGAGCACTGTGATGTAGCTGCCGATACCCCATAGCAGCGTAGGACAGGGCGACTGAGGGTGATCGTTTTGCTTTCTCTCCCTGTCCAACCTGCACCTTCTCGTGTACGAAATGTCTGAAGTGAAGGAAAGACTTTGCTTCTAGAAAAGAAAAGTAACTATTTCCTCATTTTTTGGGTTTGATCAAAGACTACTTTCACCATCCTGAAAAGTACTATGATACCAGGTGACTACGATGTTTCTAATTTAATATTTTGATTGAAAGACGAAGTTTGCATTTAGATTTCAAGATGGAGGGATGTTAGGATTCTTGGAAACGAAAATATTACCCATACCTCATGCCATACGAACAAGACATTCAAATGTGTAACGAGTGTTCATGAAAATAGAGTCTTGAACGAGTTGTGCTGACTGCACTGTTATAATATTTTTCCTATTATAAAAGTTGAGCAATTTTAAATATCTTGTCCAATAACTGCATCTAAAATGTTGAAGTATGTACATATTTTTCTCGCTACATTATTTCTGAATCACCGGAAATGTCTATATTGTCCTCGAGAATACAGAATTATGTAGGTAGAACTTTGATGCAAATACAGGCGTAGAAGCAGACAAGCATACGTTACCAACTTTCTAATTCATTGATACGACAATTCTTCTCACGTACTCAGAATTTGTATTCATATGGTGTTGTCTTGGAACGTGAATTACAAAGCAGTTACATTTGCCAGGTCAACGTAGTAAGTGGAGCGTGAAATAACAAGTCAGTTATTTCTTTTATTACCACACCCATCGTGGAATTAAATTAGTTTCCTCGTGATCCATTCAAATTATCAATCTACTTACAAAGCTATGACCATCAAAATTGAGAATTATTATCATTACCCCATTAATCAATTATGTATATTTTTTCCTTTCTTTGTTTTTTAGTCATACCCTCGTATTTTAAAAGCTATATTCAATTGCAACATAGTTTGTGCACATGCAATAATACTTTTTTGCACTTTAAAGTAAGTTTTCATTGAATTTTTTTTACAAAATGTTGACATTCTTTCAAAATATACAGTCAGAATGAGAATTTAATACTTTTTAATCTTAAAACGTATGAATGTGATAAATCACATAGTAATTAGTCGAAAAAAGAGTATTTTGTCTGGTTCAATGACAATACAGCGCATAATTTTATGGAACAATAGTTGCGCTATTTGCCCTCATTGAGGGTCTCGTGACTTCATCGGGACAACAAAGTGAGTGTGTGCGAAAATTACACTCAAGTTCTGCATAATCTCTTTCGACTTGTTTTTAACGTGAGTATATTTGTCGTTTAAATAGTTGAAGACTTAAAAGAACAGGGTAATCGTGTTCGTTGCCCCTTTAAAATATTTCTTACTCGTATAGTTGGCAAAGTTATTACTTGACATTTCTGAAGCACTTACGTATACAATTTTAGTTTTCATAAATTTAAACTTTTTGAGGTCTTCTGCGTAAACGATTTTCTATGCAATCATGACTACTCGTTACTAGCTTTCCAGCCATCTATTCCTAGCTTTTTTTGTCTGGCAGTTTGACCTCATTGAGCGATTTACTGTTTTTCTGCACGTTACTCAGTACAATTTGAATTGTGAATCTACACTACAGGACAGTATCAAGATTAATGGATTAGTTTTTCCTGGCACCTCAATTGGTAGGCATTGTCCTAAGTGTAGTGCAATTATGTTCTCTGTTGGCGGCGGTGACCTCCCCCGCTTGTTGTGTAGCTATCCAGCTAGTTCGAAAAATTCTATGACCGCCGCGGAATGTAGAACCCAAGAACCTTCCGGCCGAGATGGCCCGCAGTGACATCAGTTGATTCTACTGAGCCAGCTAAATCGTTAAGACAATTATGAGGCATCCGATTGCCATATAAATTGCAGATTATTCTTATACAGCTTTCCACCACTCAAAAGAGCGCATGATTTGTTATGAACGTAAAGTGCAGAGCAGGACTGTGCAAGTTTTTTTCGGTGTGTCACATTCACGAAAAACCTTCATTTAATAAAACGGGCGGCGGGGGTGTGGTGGAGGCGAGGCGGGGCGGTGCAGGTCGAGGTGGCGGAGTCGGGTGCGGGTCGGTGCGGGTCGGTGCGGTCGGTGCGCGGTCGGTTGCGGGTCGGGTGCGGTCGGGATGCGGGTCGGTGCGGGTCGGGTGTCGGGGGTCGGGTGGCGGTTGGTGCGGTCGGGTGCGGTCGGGTGCGGGTCGGGCTGCGGGTCGGTGCGGGCGGTCGGTCGGTGGGGTCGGTGCGGTCGGGAGATGGGCGGGTCGGGCGGTCGGTGCGGGTCGGGTGCGGGTCGGTGGCGGAGGGTCGGGTGCGGCAGGGTCGGGTGCGCGCTGCGGGTCGGGTCGGGTCTGCGTGAGGCGGCGGCGTGGTGCGGGTGCGGGTCGACGGCGCGGTGTGTCGGGGCGGGGCGTAGCGCGGGTGGGGCGTCGGCGTGCGGGGCGGGTTGCGGCGGGAGCATGGCCTGGGCGAGTGCGCGGCAGGGTGCGGGTGCGCGTGGGCGGGGGCGGCGTGCGGGGGGTTGTCGGGCGCTGGGCGTTGCGGGGCGGGTGGCGGGCGGTGCGGGGCGGTGCGGGTGCGGGTCCGGGGCGGGGCGGGGCGGGGCGGTGCTCGGCGGGGTCGAGGGCAGGGGCGGGTGAGGCGGCGCGCAGGGCCGGGCGGGGGTGGGTGGGCGCCGGTGCGGAGCGGGAGCGGGCGGGGCGGGGCACGGCGTGGCCTCACCGTTTGTAGCTCGGGCGCGTAACGGAGCGCAGATACGATCGCTTGCGCGGGAGCGGGGAACTGGAGTAGAGCTTGACACATCTCGCACATCGCGGCGCGGGCGCACGACCGACTCCGGCGCGACAGTTAGGCGCGTTCACACGTGCGGCCGACTCGTGTAACGCCAAGGAAATCGGGTTGCGTTAGAGGAACGCTCATAAACTTCATTGCTGCGATGCGTTTCAGAGTGAGCATGGGAAGAACACATTTCGAGTAGGTTCTGTGTAGCCCATCAATTCCCATCGAAGCTCAAGAAGTGTCATCTAGTAGGTAGATCATAGCAACAATTGTGAAAAATGGTGGAGTGGGCGCTAGGGAAAAATGGGAAATTAGAAATCTTCCAAGAGCTCACCTTTTTCACCGTAAACGTTCACAAGGACCGGACGAGAATAGAACCCAGGTCTTAGCGGTGAAAGGCTAGCTATTATTGCACAGGTTCCCATCTTACGTGTAAGTATACTTGTCCAGTGGAACAACAATTGTATTGCATTTGTTTGTTTTTTAAGGAAATATTTTTGCGTTATAATCACGTTTGTAGAAACATAACTCGTGAATGAAGATTCATTATAAATGGTTTGAATAACATTATAGTAGATGTTTGAAATGTGCGACTATCATGCTCGACGTAAAATTTTATTCACCAGTGGGCGTTGACATTGTCAACAGTCGAGGAGGAAGGAAGGAGTGAAAGCTGAGAAGTAAGCCCATTGTACAGGGGAAGGAACGACGACTGGCGACATGTCTTGCAGTGACAGGCACAACTCTGCACAAAGAGGAAACGTCAGATAAGATGAAAGAGCATCCTTATGTACTGCACTATAAGGGAAAAGCTCTCACATATAAAAGATCTTGCAGACGAACATAATGCACGAGACGGACGTGGGTACTTAGCGGTGAAGATCGTTCTTATCATTTCCTAGTTGATAAAATGACTTTCACTAGCAGTATTTCCGAGGAAAAACGTGACAGATTGTAGATCTTACTGGAACACGAACTATTCTGAGACGTGTTGTAAGAACCCAAGATGTTTAAGGAATGTTTCACATAAGAGATGTCTCTAGCTCTGACGGTAAGGAAAATAGTCGTTCTTAATTCATATGATGTATCACGACTGAAGATAATTAATCTAAAAAACTGGCAAATTTGACATTATACACGCAATTTGTGAAAAAAAATTCTGGTTTCGAGTTTCTATCTTCTCCACAGTAGTGTATGATTCATCATTATCTACCAACTAATTATACCCGGAAATCAATTTTTCGAGGGCAACTGCACGATGTCCCAACTTCGAGAGACCCTGCGCAAGCGGCTCCATTTGGATTCAAGCGCGCGAGGGCACTAACTGGCGGTTCGTGCCGCGCTCGAGGCCGGGGGGTGGGGGTGGGGGGCGTAGGTTGGGCGATGCCCATCGGGAGACAGGACGACGCGCTGCGCGTGGCCGCCCTACACGGCGACGCACGGCCGGGCGCCCGCGCCTGCGCACTGGCCCAACTCCGCTCTACGGGGGGCAAAAGGCTCCTCGCAATGGCAAGGTGACCTTGATGCGAGCTTCTTCGCACTTAAAACGTTGGGGAATCAAAGTGCCAACTAATAGCCAATACGTAGCATATTGTGTTATTCAATTATGTAGTCGTAAAGTATTTTGCATATTTTCGTATCATACTTTATTCTTTGTTACAGAATACCGAGGCTCAATTATATCCTTTTCTGTGTAAAATTGGAAATATCAGAAGATTTTTGAAATTGTCTGACTAAACTGTTCGTTTAATTCGTTAAACAAATAAACTGCTCGAACCTTGCTTGACTTATTTACTTTGCTCTGATTTATATAGCTCAGAAATAAGTCGAGCTGGCAGAGGAATAGTCAATGCAGAATCTGTGTAAATGAAGATGTGCAGCCTCCCCAGACTATGGTCACAGGTTTCGAATATCATCATAATCATCAACATCTTTATACGCAATAGCTGTAGGACATACGCTGTTAATTGAACATCGACATAGCGATCGATGTACACCGCCTCGTAAGATAGAAGATAGATGAGTTACAGTTTATGACTGGCCAGTAGCTAGAAGCGGTAAGAAAACTCTGATAGAAAAAGCGATAAACTTTTTGAGATACACCGCCCTGGTTGGGACATTCTTGGTTTTAATTTCACGAGTGGAAGAGTCCCTTTAAAGAATTCAAAGAGTTGTTGCGTGGGATTTAAAGTTATTGCAGGCGTGTGGTGGCGTGTGGTGCCTGGAAGTGCGCGGAAGCGGCGTTTGGGCCAGTGTGCGGCGCGGTTTCCGGGACGTGGCCGGCGGTCGGCGGTCGCCGGTTGCCGCCGTCGCGTCGCCGGCAGCGGCGGAGAGGGGCTCAGGGAACAGAGGGCTCGACCGTCGCGACGCGACGCGCGCCTTCCCGCGCCCAAGTCGTGCGGTTACGCCGCTGTTGTCCTCGTAAATGCCAGTTATTTTCAGAATGGTAGATCGAGTAAGCAGTCAAATCGGAACGTGGTCGTATGAGAGTGGCCGTAATTCAGGAAGTTTGTAATTAAACCCTATTATTTCAAATGTCATTTCATACGTAATACATATAAAATTTGATACATAAAAATTGTTTCGAAAAAACAACAACTTGGTGTCTTTTAGATTTTTAGTGCCAATATTTTATGCCCCATTCTTCGAAACAACTCGTCAGCGTCTTTAATGTGACGATTGTACTAGAAATATTAATGGTTACGATTATCTCCAGTTCCACACGTACCGCTGCATTTCCTCTGGTTCAGTCCGTGGAAAATACGGGAGATTTGCCATTGGTTGTCGATGAACATTATGGGAGTGTTTACTTGATACAATGATTCAAATCAATGTCAGTAGAAGCAAAATACTTCCCCAAAAAACTTGTTATGATGCTAGCTGTCATTAAACGGGAGCCATTAGCGGCTACACGAAGCATTTGTAAATTCCTTGCTTCAGAGAAATAACCTAATGAAATTTCACTCACTCATCAGACTGGATATGTAGCAACTGTATCTACAAGTCTGGGCTGGTCAATTCTTTAAGCCCCATAACCTTTTAGTTCTCTTGGTGCTAAAAATACTCACATACTACGAATGTGCTGCAATTTCAATAAAATCAGTCTGCAAATATTTCTTCTTGGTTAGTAACAAAAAACGTTTATAATAGTTTGAATCACAAAAGTTCAGATTAAGTTTCGCCATGCAAGGCTATGAACTACTACTTATTCCAAGAGTGCCGTCGTCTGGAAAAAA